CATTTTTATGCTAATGAAGCGGGGGAGATTTAAATCCCCGCTTCATTTGCAATTGCGATATGTCTAATTTGCATCCCTTTTACGAAAAAGGAATGCAGTCTAGACACAGCCTAGCTGTAAGTGCTGCGCTGGACAGGGTTGATAATAAGAACACTTTCTTGAATCAGGGTTATATGGAGTTCAGCTACCTGCAAATCTTACTTAGGGTCTGAGTCTCCTTTCTCACAGGTGTAACTCCACTGAATTCAATGGACTTACTCCTGTATTAAACTGTTGACAAGAAAGCTCAGGATTGGGCCCTTGGTACCTAAAGATTTTGGGTAAAAATTTCAAAAGTGCCCATGTGATTAGAGGTCTAAATGATTTGGGTGCTTTTGAAAATTACATCCATCGACAAGTTTTTAAGACCCACCATTGTCATCAGTGGCAATATTGTTAACACCTTTTTATGAACCAATAATAGGGGGGGGGTGGGGGGGGGGGGAAAGGGGGGGGGGAGGGACAAGGGTAGCAGTTGTCCTGGGGCACAGTGATTTAAAAGGGTTTAGGGCCACTGCTACCACGGCAGCAGCCAGTGCCCTAGGCCCTTTAAATTGCTGCTGGAGTCCTGCACAGCACAGACCAGGCAACACTCAGGGCTGGCTGGCCCTGGCCCCGCCCCTTCTACCCAAAGCCTCACCCCTTCCAGGGGGCCCAGAGCTGAGCCCAGGGCCTGGAGAAGTCTCTCCCAGTGCAGCATGCCAGTGTGAAGTTAAATTCTCTTTGCATTAGAAATTTTCACGCATCTGTCAGCATACTGTACATTCCTGTTCTAGAGCACAGAGCACCTGCTTTGACTATGATGGGTGATTTAACTTTAGTTTGAAAAATCATTTCATTATTAAAAGGAATGACTTTGCATTTGTAAAATATTCAAATGACTATTCTTCCACAGAAATTGATTCAGTGGAAGAAGTGGAGCTACATTAAAATTTCCAAATTATTCTCCTTCCTTATTGACTGTGGGATAGATTTCCTCTTTAATGCATTAATTGGCTAAATCCTGTGCTTTGCAAACCTTCCCCCCCAACACAAAAAACAATAAAACAACCAAACCAAAACAAAAAAAGATCAAATATGTATTTTTTTATGTTTAAAATGTCCATAAAGCCCAAACCTTATCTCAAAAATATTCTGAGATACATAAAAAGAGAAGAAAATTAAACAAGATTTTAGTCACAAAATGTACTACATCCCGCAATACTAGAGTCAATTAATTTAATAAAATAGAATATACATATAGATTCCACACAATGTATTGCTTTTACCTAAGCAGAACACATGCTCAAGTAAGCGTGATATAGGTTAACCACTCTTTGACCAGCTGGTTCTTTCAATTTTCTTTGGAAATTTTTACCCAATGCCATTTGAGAATACAGAGGGTTTTTTTTGTTTGTTTGTTTGCTTGCGTATTTTTTATTTATTTTTATGTTTATCACAGGAAAGGAAGAAAACATTTGGCACCAACAGAAATATAATTCAGGGGTCCATTTCTGCTTGATCAAAGGAAAAACTAGGGAGTGCTAACAAGTCTGTCTTTGGGGTAGGACATATTGTCATACTGTCTGGAAGCAGTGAATCTCCTATATCCATTGAGTCCTTGGAATCACAAGACGGAGCACGCCTTCGCAAGCAAATGTCTGCACTGGGAGGTGAAATACCATGAGATCCTCTAGGTAACAAACTTTGTCCATCTGGTGTCTCTATAGATATACATGGGGGGCTCAGTTTTTTCTTCTGCCGGGTTCCTTGCAACCCTTCCATTTCACTGAAGACCTGACTTATGAAGCCAGAAGAGCTAGAGGTGGAATGGTGCTGAGGGCTGTTTTGTATGGAACAAATTTCTATGGAATGTCTCCTTTGATCATCTAACCAAGATAATGGTTTTTTGAGAAGACCCTGGGTATCTACACTGTAGTATTTCTTCAGGTCCTTCAAAGTAACATTGCTGCTATTGCCTATGTTCCTCTTAGGAGTGAGAGGAGGAACCACCGAGCAGGCACTCAAGGTTGTACAAGTTCCTGAAGTGAGAGGCTCTAAAGAGCTGTTTGTTTCAGATACTTCTTGGTCCATCGAGTCTGCACCTGTCTCTTGAAATGAGCCTGTGCATGCACACAGCGCTGGGGTGTGCTTGGAGACGTTATACTGATTGTGGGAATGCTGGGTGCGAACACTTGACCGGCTCCACCAGGCCGATTCACTTGCTTCTGATGGCTCCTCCGTGGCTATGCCGGGCATATCTGTATCTGAGAGTTCATTCACCTCGGTATGGAGATTCTCCTTGCTTTCCGAGCAATACGTGTCCAAGGAGTCATTCCTTATTGCCACCTGCAGCAGAGTGCCAAGGAACAGGGCAGGAGGATAGAGGTCAAGAAGAGAGACACACCAAACAAAGGTTACTCACAAGAAAGGCACAACGTTAACAAGGCAAGCTGTCATGCCTGGGCCAAACTCTGCGCTGAAAAAAACACAAACACAAATGCAGAGAAATTCCAGTAACCGCCCCACAACATGTATTATAGTAGCTCTGTGACTCCATTGGAGTTACTCTGAGTTTATACTAGCCCAGCAGAATTTGGACTTTAATGCTTTAAGAATCTTAACTCTCAGTATATAGGATTAAAGAACTAAATTCAAATACTCACCAAAACTTTTCCCAGTCTTTGGCCTTATTTTTACTTTTGCCAGTGAGGAAAAGGTTAAGGAAGAAGTGGAGCTACATTAAAATTTCCAAATTATTCTCCTTCCTTATTGACTGTGGGATAGATTTCCTCTTTAATGCATTAATTGGCTAAATCCTGTGCTTTGCAAACCTTCCCCCCCAACACAAAAAACAATAAAACAACCAAACCAAAACAAAAAAAGATCAAATATGTATTTTTTTATGTTTAAAATGTCCATAAAGCCCAAACCTTATCTCAAAAATATTCTGAGATACATAAAAAGAGAAGAAAATTAAACAAGATTTTAGTCACAAAATGTACTACATCCCGCAATACTAGAGTCAATTAATTTAATAAAATAGAATATACATATAGATTCCACACAATGTATTGCTTTTACCTAAGCAGAACACATGCTCAAGTAAGCGTGATATAGGTTAACCACTCTTTGACCAGCTGGTTCTTTCAATTTTCTTTGGAAATTTTTACCCAATGCCATTTGAGAATACAGAGGGTTTTTTTTGTTTGTTTGTTTGCTTGCGTATTTTTTATTTATTTTTATGTTTATCACAGGAAAGGAAGAAAACATTTGGCACCAACAGAAATATAATTCAGGGGTCCATTTCTGCTTGATCAAAGGAAAAACTAGGGAGTGCTAACAAGTCTGTCTTTGGGGTAGGACATATTGTCATACTGTCTGGAAGCAGTGAATCTCCTATATCCATTGAGTCCTTGGAATCACAAGACGGAGCACGCCTTCGCAAGCAAATGTCTGCACTGGGAGGTGAAATACCATGAGATCCTCTAGGTAACAAACTTTGTCCATCTGGTGTCTCTATAGATATACATGGGGGGCTCAGTTTTTTCTTCTGCCGGGTTCCTTGCAACCCTTCCATTTCACTGAAGACCTGACTTATGAAGCCAGAAGAGCTAGAGGTGGAATGGTGCTGAGGGCTGTTTTGTATGGAACAAATTTCTATGGAATGTCTCCTTTGATCATCTAACCAAGATAATGGTTTTTTGAGAAGACCCTGGGTATCTACACTGTAGTATTTCTTCAGGTCCTTCAAAGTAACATTGCTGCTATTGCCTATGTTCCTCTTAGGAGTGAGAGGAGGAACCACCGAGCAGGCACTCAAGGTTGTACAAGTTCCTGAAGTGAGAGGCTCTAAAGAGCTGTTTGTTTCAGATACTTCTTGGTCCATCGAGTCTGCACCTGTCTCTTGAAATGAGCCTGTGCATGCACACAGCGCTGGGGTGTGCTTGGAGACGTTATACTGATTGTGGGAATGCTGGGTGCGAACACTTGACCGGCTCCACCAGGCCGATTCACTTGCTTCTGATGGCTCCTCCGTGGCTATGCCGGGCATATCTGTATCTGAGAGTTCATTCACCTCGGTATGGAGATTCTCCTTGCTTTCCGAGCAATACGTGTCCAAGGAGTCATTCCTTATTGCCACCTGCAGCAGAGTGCCAAGGAACAGGGCAGGAGGATAGAGGTCAAGAAGAGAGACACACCAAACAAAGGTTACTCACAAGAAAGGCACAACGTTAACAAGGCAAGCTGTCATGCCTGGGCCAAACTCTGCGCTGAAAAAAACACAAACACAAATGCAGAGAAATTCCAGTAACCGCCCCACAACATGTATTATAGTAGCTCTGTGACTCCATTGGAGTTACTCTGAGTTTATACTAGCCCAGCAGAATTTGGACTTTAATGCTTTAAGAATCTTAACTCTCAGTATATAGGATTAAAGAACTAAATTCAAATACTCACCAAAACTTTTCCCAGTCTTTGGCCTTATTTTTACTTTTGCCAGTGAGGAAAAGGTTAATTCAAAGTGTGTGTGTGTGTGTGCGCGCATGTGCAGGGGCAGATGACCATTTTGCGGGGCCCAGGGCAGCACAATTTCGCAGGGCCCCCCCTCTGCCACGGTGCATGCACGGTGGCGCCACGGCGCATGCAGGGGGCTTCTTGAAGCACAGGTCTTGGGGTGGCCACCTGGCTCACCCTGCCCTATATCCGCCCCTGCACGCATGCGCACTTCATTAGGCACTGGCTCAAGACCACAATTCAGCAAAGCACTTTGGGCTGCGCTTAACTTTATGCTCCCATGTCATTCTGGTGAAATAAATGGAATTGCACATGCATTTGAAGTTAATGATGTGTCTCAGTGCTGTGCTGAAGCCCTAAAATAGGGGAGCTTGGAACATTGTTAATTAAATATAAACACCCCCCCCCACCTGTGCTAAGCCATACTTCTGCCTGCCTATATGCTCACATGAGATGTCTAAGTACAATGGAGTTCCCTCAGCCCATCCACACCCATATGTGTTTGCAGTATCTAAGCTTATCCTACCTTTGCATTTCAGGTCTGCCCTGTCCTCTCTGCCTTCATCCTTTTTTTCACATGCAACTGTGAACAACACTAGCACAGTGCACATCTTTGGCCCTGCTGAGGGACTGGTTTGCCTAAAAACACAGTCTGTTACTACTGCCAGCCACTACTCAGGCTGACCGGGCACATGCTTTTAGCACTCAAGCTCCAATGGCCAAATCCCACTGGAGATGGGAGAAGGAAGAGGCGGGAATTGTGTATAAGTTCTTCCTGGCAAAGAGTATCTATCACGTGGCTGAGAACACAATTTATCATCAACAACCATGGGCTCGATGCCCATTGGTGTCCAATGTCTCCCTCACTATTTGCTTCCATCTTTCCCTGTCCAGTGCAGAGTGGCTTAGTTTCTGTAGACTGGCTCTGCACCAATCTACTATATCATCTACACATTCTCTGTGGTGTCTGCCTCTCCTATTCAGACCATCCATTATGCCAGGGTCTTAACTTTTTGTTTGTCATTCATTCTGCAGATATGCCCAAATAGCTGTAATTTCCATTGTATAAACCTTCTGCGGTATGTTCTCTTTTGGCTGTATCTTCCTATATAATTCCTCATTGTTAACCTTCTGCTTCCATCCTATTCTCAGGATCATTCTATAACAACTCCTCTCGAACGCCAATATCCTTCTCTTCGAATCTTTTGTTATCACCCATGTCTCACATCCATACAACATGCGGCTAAATACACATGTTTTCGTTCCTAAGCTTTACTTTTCCAGATGTTATCCATCGCCTGCAAACTCACTCTTGCTTTTGCTATTCTAGTTGCTATTTCCTTCTTACAGCCTAGATCATACGTCATGTTGCTCCCCAAATACGTGAACTTCTCTACATTCTCTTATTCTATCCCATCTACACTGATCTTCCTTCCTATTTCCTTATCTCCAAATACCATTGTCTTCGTTTTATCGACATTCACAATAAGTCCATACCACTTCCCTTCCTCATTTAGCACCTGCACCTTTGAAGGCCTGATCCTTGATCCTACAAATTCAAAGCACCACCAAATCTCCACTGATTCAATACATTCCATACAGAATTACCTAAACATTCTCACTGATAGTATGATTTTTATGAAAGTAAAATGAGGGATTGTATCTCAAGAGAGATAATCCATGATTATTTCCACCTATACTGTCTGAGGTCAGGCTCCTCGAGGGATGTATTGCCTACACTGTTTGGAGTCAGATGCGGGTTTTTCTTTACCTATAGATTCAAACTGGATCTAAGCTGGACCTTTGCATGGCTGTTTTACCTTCCCATTTTCAGAAGTCATTGTGTTCCGTGGTGTTGCATGCCTCTTTGCTAAAGAATTTATACATCAACTTTAATAGCTCTGCATGCAATGTCTCTTCTTGGGGAGAAGGCTTCCTTTTTTTTGTTACTATTTTTTTTTAAAGCTACAACTGGTCCCACTTTGATGAAGAGCTGGGCTTTAATTGTAATAGCATTTCTCTGATATGGAAGTGCAAAATTACATTTTTAAAATTAAATTTCATGAACTTGTAAATATCGACCAGCTGCTTTTTTTCCCGGAAAAAACTTCCATAAAATACAGGAGATACAAACATTCTGATCCTTCAAAAGCGTACACTACACATCACAGACAGACAGACACACACACACACACACACACACCCCTGCAAAAATGTAAGCACTTGAGTACTCCCGTCGAGTTTAATAGGTCTACCCACAGACGTCAAATTAAGCATGTCCATGTATTTGCAGGAAAGTTCACATACTCAAATATATATGCACACATATACATAATGATATAAAAAAGATGGTTACTTACCTTGTAATTGTTGTTCTTTGAGATGTGTTGCTTATGTCCATTCCACTTAGGTGTGAGTGCGCTGTGTGCATGATTCCCAGAAGCTTTTTACCCATAGCAGTACCCGTTGGGCCAGCAAGGGAGCTCCCTAGAATGGCACCAATACGGCAGCGCATATATATCCTTGCTGGCCCCCAACCTCCTCAGTTCCTTCTTGCTGGACATTCTGACGAAGGGGAGGCGTGTGGGATTGGAATGGACATAAGCAGCACATCTCAAAGAACAGTTACGAGGTAAGTAACCGTCTTTTCTTCTTCGAGTGCTTGCTTATGTCCATTCCACTTTGGTGATTCCCAAGTAACCTCAAGGAGACGGGGTTGGAAACCTAAAGTGAAACGGACTTCAGCACTGCCCTACTAATCGCTGCATCCTGTCTAGCCTGGCAACATCCTTCTTTGTGCCTTCTTATGTGCGCGCAGCACTGGGGACTGGGATTGGTGCCGTGGTGCTGACCGATGCGTCTGCACCATGGGGTGTCTCTCTGAGTGCCCTACTTCCTGCACCAACCTCGGTGCGCTCCGCACCTATGGTACCTCTGGTGCCTGGGGTTGTAACGCCGGTTTCATCAAGAGAAACTTGAGTCTTGGGTTGCGTTCTCTTTTGGTTCTCGGCTTAAGGACTTGCAAATTTTGCAGGAGTCCATGAGGTATTCTTCTTCCAAGCACTTTAAGCACTCTTTATGCGGGTCCCCACGGAGCATAAGCTTCGAGCAACTCTGATAAAGTTTAAAGCCCTGGGGCCCTGGTATGCCCTGCCCCACGGAGGGAGGGGGAAGAGTAAGTCTCTCCTAACTATTGGAATTAGAGTTCATCTGCAAATTCGATTCTCATGCTAATGGACTCAATCGTGATGAAGGATAGTTGGGACACTATCAACCTAACAGTTGTTGAAGGTGCAAACAGCTTTGTGTAGATTCCTATGTCAGGAAGGATACTATCAATTGGCTTCCATTCTTATCTGCTTCATTTTAACGACCCAATCTTCAGATACTTACTGATTCCCTCAACATTCCTGATTTTCCATACCCTCTGCTCCCTGTCACCCACCTCGCTCCTTTTTTTTTCCTTTCTTCCCCGCACCCTTCTCTCCTATTTATTTTGGGTCTGCACATCCTAAACTCAAAACTCCAATTATCTGAAGAAGTGGGCTGTGCCCACGAAAGCTCACGATACCATCTACATGTTTTGTTAGTCTATAAAGTGCTACCAGACCATTAGTTGTTTTTTAATATACAACAGATAAGTGAACAGATAACCTGGAACAATGAATAACTATTTATACCAGATAAGATTAGATGGACTACTAAGGCCAGGCTTGCTAAGCAAGACAAGCATTCCAGTCGACCCTCAGGGGGCGGTAAGAAGGAACTGAGGGGGTTGGGGACCAGCAAGGGTATATATACATGGCGATATTGGCGCCACTCTAGGGGGCTCCCTCACTGGCCCAACGGGTACTGCTAAGGGTGAAAAGCTTCCGGGAATCGTGCATCCGGCGCGCACACACCTAAGTGGAATGGACATAAGCAAGCACTTGAAGAAGAAACACACGTTAGCATGGGTGTATGTTCACATACACAAATGCTTTTTCTGGATGTTTATATTACTAATATGCATCTGGAATCTTGGTAGAGTTTGTGTACTCACTTCTCTTATTTGGAGAATTAGAAATTCAATGTTTGTGGTTTAAATGACTGCCATGTTTATGAGACACCTGTTTAAATCTGAATATTTTGATATACATTCTTGGGGAAGGACAGTCAAAAATCGACATTAAAATTGTTCACATTGATTCCAAACCTGCAATCTTAGGCTAACATGGCTGATTTTTCCCCAAAAATATGGTAAGAAAAATTATAGCTTCATTTCTGAATTTCTGTGTCTATAGGTTATTGGAGGGCACATGTCAAGACTATGGATTATACCGGCATAGATAGGTCACCATAACTGTGCGGCCATCGCAGCCTAGTGTAAACACAGTTGTATCTGATGAAAGAGGTTTTTCTATTGGTTAGGCCCACCATCTTCTCAAGTGATGGTAGCTACACGAATGGGTGCATGTTCACATTCACATAGCTGCGTCTACAATGAAGGTGGGTTGGCATAGCTACTTTGGTCAGGGGTATTGATTTTTCTAACTCCTGATGAAACATACTCACAAAATGGCCCCTAATCTTGCAAAGGGACAATATGCTTGCATGGAGGCCCATTAAGGCCTTAGGGACTCAGTGAATGTTTTCATGGGCAGATCCTTTTCCAGGATTGTGGGTCATTACAGTGAACTAGTTGATTTGTATGTAAACACACCCACAATTCTCTAAATATACTGGGTGGGATTTCACAGACACTTAGCTTTCATCTAAAAGTGAGTCTACACTGCAAAAAAAAGTGTGTTCTTAACTCCGGTTAGCTCACTTAAAATATCAGTGAGGACACATAGTTAAAACGCATAGGCTATCCTGGAGTTAAACTCAAGACGCTAACCTGGGTTAAAAACCAAGTTGCCAAGACTCATTGCCATTTTAACCGGCACTAGCTGGTCTGAGTTAAGAACACCTTTTTCTGTAATATAGATGTACTTTATCTGTGTTCCCATTGACGAGAATGGTAGCATTCCCATTGATTTCAATGGGATCAGACTTAGGCCAATGCTACACCG